GGGGGCTCTGACCTGCTGGTACCGCTGCAGCGTGCTGGAGAAGGTGTGCTGGTAGCAGAGGTCCAGCAGGCGCTCCTGGACGTAGTTGTGGCAGAGCTCTGCGAAGCCAGCCGCCCTCTCTTCATCCCCGTGCCGCGGGTTCTGGAAACCTGGGGTGTCTACCAGCATGACTGAGCCCAGCGTCAGCTGCTGGGAAGACAGTGACCTGTGTGCAGGAGAGGCCCAGGCTTGAAATATGGCCTACATGCCTGCTGTGCACAGACACACAACCACATGTACACACACACCCCAGGTACCTGTTGATGAGAGAGACCACGGTGCTGAAAAGCTCCTCGTACAGCCCCACTGCCATGCCCTCCACACACTGCACCGCTGTGAGCCTGGGACCTGAAACACACACAGCCCACTGCGTCACACAGTGCCCTCCACGCCGCTGAGCAGCGGCTCCTGATCCTGTGCAGTGCATGTGCCCCGGAGGCAAACAGTCAGACAGCCGACGACACATGACAGACACACACAGTCCAACAGACCATCGGTGCTGCGGTCGCGGTCCCGGCCTGGCCGCTCTCTGGCGCCCCCGGTGGCCTGCTGGAGTAGGTGCAGCAGGTGGTGCTTGAAGACGGCAGTGGACAGCTCCTCCCCCTCACAGCCCAGCGCGGCGGCCGCGTGCTGCGCGCTGTCGAACTGCAGGAACTGCCGCCTGCCCACTGAGGGAGCGAGAGAGAGGGGGTTCGCAGCTTTCAGCAGAGGGGAGAACTCCATGCAACAGAGAGCAATTTACTGATTCAATTACTTTCACACTCCTGCTGATCGTTTCATTAACAAGCAGTTAATGACTCCCACACTTACTTAGCTGTGCATTCAACTGAGAGAGTTGTGCACTCTCAGGGGTACACAGACGCCCCTTTTACTTCTCCATACAGCAACACTCTGATAGCTGTCTGACACTGATTGATCTACACTGACCAACACAATGTATAACACACACTGACTGATCTACACTGAACAACACAATGTATAACACACACTGACTGATCTACACTGACCAACACACACTGACTGATCTACACTGACCAACACATTGTATAACACACTGACTGATCTACACTAACCAACACAATGTATAACACACACTGACAGATTTTCACTGACCAACACGTTGTGTAATACACACTGACAGATTTTCACTGACCAACACGTTGTGTAACACACACTGACAGACACATTGACCGATGTTCTGATGACTGACAGCACCCCCTCTTCTCATTTTGGTTTAGTCCCACCTTTGCAAGCCCCCGCTGCTCCCAAGTGGTATATCCCAGCGAGCACGTGCCAGATTGCTCGCTGCTCATTGTCTGATAATCCCAGCGTTCCCAAGGCAGCCTGCAACTTCCCAAAGGCCACTGCGGCTTTCTGCTTCTCCTCCACCTGAGCGAGAGACTTCCTTCATGTCAACTTTGATTTCAATATACAAGTCTCTCAACATCAGAGCCTCCACGTTTCTGCTAGTGACATTCACTGGGTGTAACAGGAGAGAGAGCATGAGCAGGTAAAAGAGACGGAGGCATTCAGGCCATCCCTGTCGGTGATCAGTGAGGCTGAGGACACATCTGGAGTTCCAGTGCTGATCCGGCGGTTGACCTCTGCAGACTAATTAAGAACTCGTTACCAATCTGGCCATTACTTACCTTCTTCACTGAAGTGATGCCAAACAGGTTGCCTTCAGCCATCTGGTGCAAGTGTAGCTCAGTCCTGCAAGAGAGGGAGAGAAATACAGTAAGCAACAGAGGAATAGAGAGACTCAGTGACCACAGCCTGGCCATAGAAACTGGACACAGGCAGACCTGGCTGCCCAGAGAGGACAGGCTGTGAAACAGACAGAGATGCACTTCCTACTGCACTGTGAGAAATACTATGGGATTAGAGAAACATTCTTCCCCAAATTTATAGATCTAATCTCAGAATTCCCACACCTGACAGAACCAAAACAGCTCCCAATCCTACTGGAAGGAGGGGGGGGACTCAGTTGAACTGGCCACCCAGTAATTGATCTCCTGTCACAGCCTGAGGAACAGTGAGCCTGTCTCTCAATAATGTTGCATGTTGTATATAAATGTCCTATGATGTAAATGTATATGTTGTATTGACTCTAGTTGCTTTTGCAGCCCTGAGTCAGTACTGAATTGCAGGTATTTGCTGCCCTCTGATGTTGACAGGAGGACACTGCCACTACAGCCCTGATGATTGCTGCTGAACTCGTACGATATTTCTTTCCCTCTTCTGTTTCTGCAGACTCCTGCTCTCCATGTCTCTCTGTCACTCCTCCTTTTCCCAGGGTTCCTCTTCCTCTATCTCTCTCCTCGTACCTCAGCTCCGGGCTCAGTCCCGCCAGCAGCTGCTTGAAGACGTGGAAGGTGTCTTCTCCCTCTGGCCTCCGGGTCACTCTCCAGTGCTCCAGCAGCATGGTCTGAGAGGGGCAGAGGAGATGCTGAGTAGAGGCTCCCTTGTCCAGCTGAGAGAACCAGCCTGCCAGACTGGCATGCTCAGAGACAGACAGGCAGCGAGCAGCCAGCTGAGACGGGTACCTGCACATGAGCTGCAGACACTCGGCCCGCGTGGTTGAAGTCCAGTGACAGCACCATGGAGAAGCGGGAGGAGGAATCGCAGTGCCGTGTTTTCACACAGCCAAATGCCCGGAGCACCGTCAGCACGGCCTTCAGCTTTTCCACTGCTCACACACAGACGAAACACTGAGAAACTGTCACAC